ATTTATTATCCCATAGGACATAATTAGCTATAAAGTTTGGAGTAGAGATCTGGACTTGTTATAATGTAAGTGGTAACTAGTTAAACTATTATTATTATAGAAATGTATTTATTATCCCATAGGACATAATTAGCTATAAAGTTTGGAGTAGAGATCTGGACTTGTTATAATGTAAGTGGTAACTAGTTAAACTATTATTGTTATAGAAATGTATTTATTATCCCATAGGACACAATTAGCTATAAAGTTTGGAGTAGAGATCTGGACTTGTTATAATGTAAGTGGTAACTAGTTAAACTATTATTATTATAGAAATGTATTTATTATCCCATAGGACACAATTAGCTATAAAGTTTGGAGTAGAGATCTGGACTTGTTTTTGTAGGACATAATTAGCTATAAAGTTTGGAGTAGAGATCTGGACTTGTTTTTGTAGGACATAATTAGCTATAAAGTTTGGAGTAGAGATCTGGACTTGTTTTTGTACGACATAATTAGCAATAATGTTTGGAGTAGAGATCTGGACTTGTTTTTGTAGGACATAATTACCTATAATGTTAGTGGAAAAGACCTGCACTTGTTTTTGTACGACATAATTAGCAATAATGTTAGCGGAAAAGACCTGGACTTGTTTATGTAGGACATAATTAGCTATAATGTTAGTGGAAAAGACTTGTACTTGTTTATGTAGGACATAATTAGCTATAATGTTAGTGGTATAGATTTGTTTATGTAGAACATAATTAGCTATAATGTTAGTGGAAAAGACCTGCACTTGTTTTTGTAGGACATAATTAGCTATAATGTTAGTGGTATAGATTTGTTTGTGTGGGACTTAACTATGTGGAATGTTAATGGCAAATGAATGGGCTTGATTTGTAAGAAGCAATAAGAATGTGATTAGAATTAATAATAGAGACATCAGGAGCATAGATCTCAGTAAAGGTTGAATTTGTAGTAGAGTTACAAATTAATGATTTTGTAGTGATCAACTGAAGTTACAGAATGACAAATGACAAGATTTTTGTAGTAGACCAAACATTAATGTAGATTTTCATTAAATCTCTAAAAAAATGTTTTGCTACTAAACTCAGCTAATGGAATGATAATTGTTTTTATTGCACTTGTAAGAGAAAAAGTTTATGTTGTCAGAATCAACTATCTAAAACTGCTATCAAAAAGACACCTTTGAACTAAAAGAAGAGGGAACAGTTGTGGATTTTCACTGGATAATGGAAAGCTACTGCTCAGGGAGAAAAATATTATAAACAAACTTGTTATTTTGTAAGAACTGTTTTGTGTATTATATCTAGTAATGAGCTGTATATAAAAATTGTATATCTTTGTTTTCTTTGGTTGTATAAATATTATGATTAGTTAATTCAAAGGAAACTTGCATCTGAAACAATAGATTACATAATTTATTTTTTTGTCTTCATTCATCTTGTAATTATGAAAGATAGTTTAGTTTTCTTTAAAAATTAAAAGATGACAATAATCTTTTTAACTCTTCACATCTGAAAACTTACCCTGCTATTTCTGGCAGATCTCTCAAATAGCAAGTCATGCAGGTCTTTAATAAAGTAGAAGAACCATGTCAAGGTGTTGTTATTGGTTTTGCAGTATAATAAAGCTGTTACATTAACATTTTTCAAAGTAACTGATGACAAGCTGAATATAAAAAAAGATCTTTAATGACAACTATTAACAGCATGATACAATAAGAAGGTAAATTTAAAAAATACTGATTCTGTCTTATAGTCCTGCCAGCATCTTCCTATCACATAAGAAACAACACATTTTAAAGAACATATTATACACCTAAGCTATGAATCTTGTAAGAACACAAGATTTATTCATATCTTTTATTCAGTATTTTACAAATATCAAGCTGAACATGACAGCTTTCTTATGGTAAACACAGAAGTAAGAAACAAAAAAGAAATATTAAGGGTCTGATATTCCTGACTGTTTACTGTAACCTGTGTACTCAACAGAAATATTAAGGGTCTGATATTCCTGACTGTTTACTGTAACCTGTGTACTCAACAGAAATATTAAGGGTCTGATATACCTGACTGTTTACTGTAACCTGTGTACTCAACAGAAATATTAAGGGTCTGATATTCCTGACTGTTTACTGCAACCTGTGTATTCAACAGAAATATTAAGGGTCTGATATTCCTGACTGTTTACTGTAACCTATGTACTCAATAAATGTTATGTCAGGTTACTTTGCACAATGACATTAACAATATCTTCTATTTTACATTTCAAAATGTTAAAATTAATTCTTTTTGTGTAGACTTTCATAATTCATGTTTAAATAAATACATTGTTTCTGACTAAACAGTGTACTTACAAGATCACATCTCTGTCCTTCTTAGAGGCCAACAAGAAAAAGATGGCACAGTAAATGGCATTCTATGGAACTCTGCTCTGACCTTTTGTTGAATTCTATGTTTACAACATTCTCAAAATAGCAAGTTATGCCTGATGAACGTAAAACAAATTCATTTAAAACCATTCTATAAGACTTTTATTTCATAACTTATGTATTTTTAACTTTCATGTTAACTTTTAAATAATGAAGGATTATTAGTACAATTTTTATTCTTCAAGTCTAAACTGAATGTTTTAGAAAGTAAGGGAATTTTAATTTCATGTTTTAATAATTTGTGTGATTCTCAGTAAAAAATTAAAACCCTCCATTATCATTTCATTTTATTTACATCATTAAAATGACAAGATTTTTGGTATTGATCAAGATAAGAACTTTTAACAATTAAAATAGCAACAAACCTCATTAAAAGGTTCTCATTTAACAATTAGAATACCAACAAATATCATTTATAGATTTTATTTCTTGTATTTAATATCCTATAGTATAAAAGATTTTTGAGTTAAGATATTTTCTTTAAAATTCAAAACATATATTTAAAAAAAAACACTAAAAATAGAGAAACAGCAAAAGTACTATAAAATATACAATAGATTATCACATTGACGCTTTCTTTTAAAAAAATGCTGGAGTTCTATTTTGACCTTAACTGTTGCTAGACCTATTGAAAAGAACTTAATCATTTAACCTGAATACAGAGCTCTAGCTTATTGATATATACTCAAATATATTATTATGTCTAGCAATTACTAAGACATAATTAGAATAATACTGTTGTTAATATGGTTCTTTATTAAAATGATAGAATAATTACTATTACCGAGGTAACAGATTAATTCCTGTTCACTTACAGTGTCCACAATTCTTCAGAAAAGCTTTGGATAAGCCATTCCATTAATAACACATCAAAAGTTGTATGGATGGTAGTTATTTGTAAGAAACAATATGGTGTACATTATGACTCATACTTCAGCAAATCACTCTGTCAAGTTCACTCAGCATTACAAGTGGAGTCACAAGGAACGTTACATTCTCAACAGTCACAAGGAACGTTACATTCTCAACAGTCACAAGAAACGTTACATTCTCAACAGTCACAAGGAACGTTACATCATCAACAGTCACAAGGAACGTTACATTCTCAACAGTCACAAGGAATATTACATTATCAACAGAGTCACAAGGAACGTTACATTCTCAACAGTCACAAGGAACGTTACATTCTCAACAGTCACAAGGAACGTTACATTCTCAACAGTCACAAGGAACGTTACATTCTCAACAGTCACAAGGAATGTTACATTGTCAAGGATCACAATGAATATTACCTTCTCAACAGTCACAAGGAATATTACATTATCAACAGAGTCACAAGGAATATTACATGGTCAAGGATCACAATGAATATTACATTCTCAACAGTCACAAGGAACATTACATTCTCAACAGGCACAAGGAACGTTACATTCTCAACAGTCACAAGGAACGTTACATTCTCAACAGTCACAAGGAATATTACATTATCAACAGAGTCACAAGGAATATTACATGGTCAAGGATCACAATGAATATTACATTCTCAACAGTCACAAGGAACATTACATTCTCAACAGTCACAAGGAAAGTTACATTCTCAACAGTCACAAGTAACATTACATTCTCAACAGCCACAAGAAACATTACATTTCAACAGTCACAAGGAACATTACATTTCAACAGTCACAAGGAACATTACATGGTCAAGGATCACAAGGAATATTACATGATCAAGGATCACAATGAATATTACATTCTCAACAGAGTCATAAGGAACATTACATTTCAACAGTCACAAGGAACGTTACATTATCAACAGGCACAAGGAACATTACATTTCAACAGTCACAAGGAACATTACATTTCAACAGGCACAAGGAACATTACATTTCAACAGTCACAAGGAACATTACATTATCAACAGTCACAAGGAACATTACATTATCAACAGTCACAAGGAACATTACATTATCAACAGGCACAAGAAACATTACATTTCAACAGTCACAAGAAACATTACATTATCAACAGTCACAAGAAACATTACATTATCAACAGGCACAAGAAACATTACATTATCAACAGGCACAAGAAACATTACATTTCTACAGTCACAAGGAACATTACATTTCAACAGTCACAATGAACAATACAGTCACAAAGAACAGTACATTAATAAGTGAGCCTCAAGGTACATTACAAAGATTTTTGATGGGAAAGTAAAAACAATAAGTTTGATTATATAGGCCACAAAAACAGCAGTTTTTGCTATACAAGTCTAAGTAACTGATTAATAAAAAAATCACATTATGAAGTACTTTATATCTAGAGCAATAGAAACTTACATTGTTTAAAAGTTTTGTAAAAGTAATAGATTAAAACTACAACAAATACTTTGTACAGAAGATTCTACAGTTACCATAAGTATCAGGAAATATTTACAATATCTATGATTACCAAACTTTTCATGTTACATACTATAACTATGCCATATTCTACACTAATGTTTGCCTATGGTGGATTCACAAAATTTCTAATTACTTCTTACAGTAAAAACTAAAGTTGAGCTTGTCTTCTTTTTTTTACCTTAATGTAATGAGAAAAACAGCAAAGTATATATTACTAAAGTTACATTGTTGTTTGTGGTGTGGAAGTTATCTGTTACTAAAGTTACCTTGTTGTTTGTGGTGTGGAAGTTATCTGTTACTAATGTTACCTTGTTGTCTGTGGTGTGGAAGTTATCTGTTACTAATGTTACCTTGTTGTTTGTGGTGTGGAAGTTATCTGTTACTAAAGTTACCTTGTTGTCTGTGGTATTTGAATATCAATGCTTATGTCTGTAATAAGAGGTAATATGATATTTAGACAAGAAAAATAATAGAAAACAGTAAATTACAGAAACTATATACAAATTCTAAATTTGGATGGACACATAATTATCTGAATACAGAATGTACAAATTTACTGTGATTTGAGAAGAATGTGGAAGAAAATGTAAATTTATACAACCATTCCTGTCATAATCTCAAACAACAAACAAACAAAGTAATAATGCATAAAACCAAGTATTATGAACTACTTATTTCATTACACTTCACAACACAACTAGCTTTTGTGTTTTTATACAAAAATAAAATAAAGAGATGTGACAAAGATAACAAAATTAAAATATTGAGTTATTTATGTTTCAAATGTCTAGTAGGTTGTTGTTTTATTATTATTTCATGTATATGAACAACAATTCATAAACCTATTTAAAGACAAGTTCTTCAGAACCTCAAATATGGTACAAAAATAAATAAAGCATTAGAGTCAAAAGTAAATGCTTTAACTAGTGGTCAGAAAAGTTCTTCAGAAACCAGTTTTATTGAAGTTATGATTTGGAACCAAAATTCCTTGGCTAGATTATGTTGTCTTGGAACAGAACTGGACTTCTCTGGACATCACTGTGGTCAGTTGTTCATTCCATTACTGTTTGGTTTATCTATCATCATCTGATTCGAGTACTTTACCTAATAATATAACATCATAACAACCAGTTACAACATCATTTAGTTTATCTATCATCATCTGATTCAAGAACTTTATCTAGTAATATCCCATCATAACAACCAGTTACAACATCATTTAGTTTATCTATCATCATCTGATTCAAGTACTTTATCTAATAATGTCCCATCATAACAACCTATTACAACATCATTAAGTTTATCTATCATCATCTGATTCAAGTACTTTATCTAGTAATATCCAATCATAACAACCAGTTACAACATCATTAAGTTTATCTATCATCATCTGATTCAAGTACTTTATCTAATAATGTCCCATCATAACAACCTATTACAACATCACTAAGTTTATCTATCATCATCTGATTCAAATACTTTACCTAGTAATAACCCATCATAACAACCAGTTACAACATCATTAAGTTTATCTATCATCATCTGATTCAAGAACTTTATCTAGTAATATCCAATCATAACAACCAGTTACAACATCATTAAGTTTATCTATCATCATCTGATTCAAGAACTTTATCTAGTAATATCCAATCATAACAACCAGTT